GGACAGCAGGCTGAAGAACCACTGCCTTAGGAACCATATCCCAGGGGAGTGGGGTGGGGACAGCATAGACCCCAAGCACAGCCTTTCTTGATAATCCCTCAAACATTGATTGACTTGATGATCTGGGCAATCAGGATTCAGCACCCAGCCTCACAGCTTTAGCCGAAAGGCCTGTAAACCTTTTTCCACCAGCAAGACCCCTCTTTCTACTGAGATCCTATCCTCTTGGACTCCAGCTGCAAAGGAGCGAATAGCTGGCAGTGTATCTCCTTGGCTGCCCTGTTCAAGGATGTGACAACATCTTCCAGCCCATTCTTATCTCCTAATGTCATGGCTTCCTGGAAAGAAAAACTTAGAGTTGTCAGAGCACCTGTTGTGAGATTTTGTTGATCTCACCCTTTATCAGAGAACTTCTAGCATGATAGAAACCAAAGCTTACTTTCTCCAGAGGGACATTTTAGATGTTTCAAATACTTCAATCTCATCTTTATCATGTACAGTAAGTTTTAGGAACACAGAGTTAAGGTAGTAATGTTGGGATTAAATTTTTATGGCTAAGGCTTTGAAGCGCAAATAAAATTTTAAAAGCTTGTTACTAACTGAAAATTGTTATCCTGCTGAGGACACCTTTTACTGCTATAATAGCTATAAAACATAGTGATGAATATAAAAAAATTATATTAGAATTTGGAGGAATGTTTTCACCCTCATTTCTTTTTTAAACTCTGTAGAAATTATTCTTGGGTGTATAGTCTTCTTGGATTAATAGGTGATCATTAAGACAAAGCAAACAAAAATACTCTGGTATTAGTTTAAAATTGCAACAAAACTCTTAACAGTTTTTGCAAGTTGAGCTGTAAAATACAAAGGTGAGAAATAATTTTATTACCCAGAAAGGTATAATTTATATAGCCTTATTTGTGGGGAGACTGTAGTTCATTTATTTGTTGGTTCATTCGTTCATTCACTTATGTATGACAAACTTATGGAGTACTATAATGTGCCAGCTCTGTGCGCATTGATAAGGATACACAGATGGCCTTGGCATCATTTTGCCCTTGTATGTTTTATTGATAGTACCTTTTATCTTCTGTCAGACTGCCTTGAAATCGCTACTCCAATAGCTTCATATTGGGAGAGAAAAAATGCCTACCCAGGTGATGTGTCTATAGAGTCTAAGGTTTTTGGTAGCCTTATATTCCATTTTCATTTTAAGGCAAAAGGCATGGAAAGGCATATTTTATTATTATTATTATTATTTTTAGTGCTGAAATTTCTTACAGAACAGTGGCATCAGGAAGTGTTGAGGGTGGTTGGAATAGGATTTAACATGGCAGATGCCCAGAGGTTAATCCCTGGTAAGAAGCAGCAGGTCAGAGATGCTTGCTGGCTGGCAGGTCCGTGGTGGTTCTCTAGAGGCATTGTAGCATGGCAGATAGGAGCCATTGGCTCTGGAACCAGACTGCAAGTATGAACCCTGGATCTCCAGTCACCTGGAGAAAATTTCTTAACCTCCCTGTGCTGCGGTTTACTCATCTGTAAAATGGGAGTGGAAACAACAGTGCATTTGTCCTACTGTCTTGGCAGGAGTCAATGAGTTAATCCATGAGAAGTACTTAGGACAGCAGCCGGCACCTAGAAAGAGCTCAAAAATGGTGGCAATGGTGGTGGTAGCAGTAGTTAGTAGTATCGGGGTGGTAATTGTAGTGGCAACTGTCAATATCCTTTCTTGTCATCATGAATTCCCTTATTTATACCATGTCAGAGTCACAAAAGATCCAGCTCTGCGAGGTGGGGTCAACAAGATAGATCACACTTATAAATGGACTGCATTTTAAGAATTGAGAAAGACTGTCTTCTTAATGCTGATGTAACAACTTTGTATCCTATGTAAGGTATACTCCACTAATAACTATGAGTTGGGGACTCTGTCCAGTGGTCCTGTTGCCTTTTAACATTGTTGCAAAAGGTTAGGAGCCCTCCAGAGACCATCAGCACAAGCTAGGCTCCTGTCAACTCTTCCACAGGCAGGAAGGCTGACTTCTGTCATGGTGCTTCCCATGATATTTGTAGCAGTGCCTCCAGTGCCTCAGTGAATGGAAGTCACACATCATGCAAGTTTGCCAAGTGGCTTTTTGCACTTCCATTTTCTATCCCATAACCCCTCTGTCAGAGTTCTTTTGATATCTGTACAGAGGGGCAGTGAGGAAGACAAAGGCTGAGAGAATGTGCCTAAATCAGTGGTTCTCAAATGGGGGATAATCGTGTCCTCCTCCTGGGATATTGACAATGTCTGGAGACATTTTTGCTTGTCACAATGGAGGTATTGCTACCATCATGTAGTGGCGAGAGGGCAGAGATGCTGCTAAACACCCTACATTGCACAGGGCAGTCCCCCACAGCAAAGAATTATCTGGCCCAAAGTGTCAATAGAGTTGAAGTTAAGAAACCCTGAGTTAACACAAACACAGCCCAGCTTCTGTGCCTGGCTAACTAGCGATAATAGTTAAATACCATTTTTACACAGAACTCCCTGGCTTATGATTCAGGCTCCACGCAAAGAGGCTGGAGTTAGGGGACATTGTACCCTTTGAGGAGTAGTATTTCTGTTCTGAATACAGCCACCTCTCAGTGGCACTATTGCCCCCATCTGTGTGGCTGGCCTCTGGCAATTTTCAGAACTCTAGAGAACCAGTCAGTGCCTTAGATTTAGTGTAAGAGCAGAACTGGTGGCTGACTCCCGCTGTCCATGCCAGCTAATGATGTGCCAGGGACAGACTGTGAGTCATACCAACTGTGGGACTTGCAGCCCCCGGAGCAGAGTGATCTCATGACTCTGGATAAAGGGATGGAGCTTTGCATTACCCAGAGGGAGGTTTCTTTAGGACGAATGAGAGCATATTCTAGAGAATGGTTTTATTTTTTATTTGTATATTTAACAAGCACTTATATATTGCCTATTATGTGCCAGGCAGTGTTTAAAACAGTTTGTAAATGATAACTCATTAGACCCTTATAACCACCCCAAAGAAGCAGGCTTGTTATTGTCACTCTTTTACAGATAAAGAAACGGGAATGGAGAGCAAGGACTCAAACCTAGGAAGTTTGGCTCTCAGGTCTGGGCCCTTAACCACTGTGCTATGGATGAAAGACACTGAATTTCATACTCGATTTCTTTTTCTACCTTGGCTCTTGACTTCTGACTGGTCCCAGTTAGGCATCAGGGAATTAAGCAGACCCAAGTCAAGTGCCCGTTCTGACTTACTATCTCTGTAACCACAAACATGTAATTTCCTGTCTGTGAGCCTCAGTTTTCTTATCTGTGAAATGAAGTTATACTACCTCATGGAGAATGTGGAAATTACATAGGATTTCTTATATACGTGTGTGGCACATAAAAGGCATTCAGGGAATGTTAGTTCCCTTCTACCCTTCTTTGTTATATTTTTGACCCTATTGCTCTAATGCCATGGCCAGCTTGTCTTACTGCTTATAGGTAAGATACGCACTGAAGAGCAAAATAGGCCTCATCAGGTGTTTGTTAGACTTAATGAATGAATGAACTGTTACAGATCTTAACATCTTGAAAAAAATCTGATATGTGTCAGGGAGATGATGAGATGATGCCAAGCCCGTCAAACCAGACTTTCAGGATAACGATGTGGGCTCTCTTTCTGCTTATAGCTTTTAATCAGCTCCAGTGAAGCTGTCTGTAAACCTCTGGGAACACAAACTTCCGTGTTAATTACACATCTGTGTTTCTGTTCTGATGAGTTTCTCTCTTGACCTGGCTGTGCAGGGCAGCCTGAATGCAGCTTGGCTGAAGTTGGTCGGCTGTGCCCTGGGGTTGGTAAATTAACCAGGTGTGTGTTTCTTTCCTGGCCAGATCAGAGTACTTGCTCAGAGCACGTTTGCTGTTCCCAGCAGAATGGAAGGTAGCAACTTTCCATTCTTTTTCATTTTCTTTTACAGATCTGAAGAAAACTCTTGCTGTGTTGCTATCTTAATTCAGGACTTTACTACATCCTGCTACCCACACTGTGTACTGCTGCTCTGGCCCACTCCCAATTCATAAATGAGTCTGGCTTCTGTTTGTATGCATAGCTATCCTGTTGTCCTGCTGCCTTTCCCACATGTACAAATCTGTGTATCTTGCTTTGATTATGAGTTTCCAGAGGAGAAGGGCTAAATTAGTCTCTTTGTGTGCATGTGGAATACCTCATATACAAACTTAATAAATGCTTACGTACGTGCGAGGATGTTATTTGTCCAGAGGGAAGTGTACTACTCTTTAACTCACGGTCAGATGTGTAAAAAGAGAATCAGTTCTTAAATCTAAGCACCAGGAGGGAATCTCCACAGCAGCTAGAGCAGTGCCTGGCACGTGATAGTTGTTTGATAAATATTTCTTGAACAATGAATGACTCTGGACTTGTAGTAGTTTTCTAAATCTGATTATAGTTAACCGGTTTATCCAGCATGCTTGGAAATCTGGAACTGTAGCTTTTATTATTACCATATGTAACCACAGAAATAAAGACTGTACAAAACACTTGGGATATACGAGAGTACACAGCACTGAAAATAAAAATGAACTTGACCCAGAAGCTACTTCAGGACTTTGCTGCACTTCGGGGTTATCATTCTGTGTGTCAGTAGCCATCATGCTATAAGGAGGAAGAATTGAATAGAGTGCTTTGGTAGGATGCTTAAGTAACAAGGAGTTTTCTCTATCAGCCTCGTAGCTAGAAATAATTGTATGTCATTTACTGCCCAACTTGCATCCCAGAACAGACCAGTTTGGTGTTTTCTGGGCCACTTGAAGATGGCCCCTGTCATCTTTGAGATGGGGTTTGTTAGGATGGGTCTCAGGGCAGTACTTTTTGACTGTGCCACTTTTTATTCTTAGTGTCAGAGAGAGAAAAATGAGAGAGTGTGTGTTGAACAGCTATGCATTGGCCAAAAGATTTTTAAACCATCTGCATTTTTTTTTTTTACAGATCTGAAGAAAACTCTTGCTGTGTTGTTGGATAATATATTGCAGCGCATTGGCAAGTTAGAATCGAAGGTGGACAATCTGGTAGTCAATGGCACAGGAACAAACTCAACCAACTCCACTACAGCTGTTCCCAGCTTGGTAGCACTTGAGAAAATTAATGTGGCAGGTAAGAAGGGCAATTCTATGCCCTGACATGGAATTGAATTTTGATTTGAACTGAGAAAAGAATAAAGAAGCACAGTGGTCCTTAGTGGTATAAAATACATCCCATAAACTTGGTACGGCCCCTGTAAATCTAAGTTTAAATTTATTTTCGAATAACAGATGTTGAAATGGTTTTATAGTCTCATCATGATGTGTGATATGTGGTGGTTTCTTTGACATATTTCACATGATGAGCTTCTGGAATTCACTTTTAATGAGAAGATTCATAGCATGGATAATTGAAATACAGAGGTTATCTGGGAAGCTTACGCCGGTGAGGGTTCCTTCCTCCTCCCCATTTCATCAGGCACTTTGAAAAGTCTATTATATATAATAGAGTCTCTCCTCCCAGTTGTTAAAGAAGAGCCACTATTGCAGAAAATGCCTCCTGTGTGTATATGGAGAAATAGAAATTCTGGAAATGGCACTTAGGAATTAAATGGTCCTTGCCTGATCTTGGGCTGATTCTGTAGCCGCTCACAGATGCCACCATGCACTTCGCACTGGGATTCATTTTGTCTGGCCCCTTCTTGAAACTGGAATCTTGTGTGAGAGAAGAGAAGTAGATTAAAAACAAAGCCCGAATCATACACAGCATATATTATCTACAGCTCACATTGGACCCCCGTCACACTGCCCTTGGGTTGACCTCTGGGTCTTTGTGATTAAGCCAGGGCTTGCTCTTCTTGGGCCGGCCACTGTTGTTTCCTAAGGACCCAGGACAAAGCCAAGAGCTGGAGGATTAGGGTTAGGTGCTTTGGGTGGATGGTTGTGAATCCTATACTCCTGGTAGGTGGTATCCAAACTCTTGTTAATGTATAAAATAAGTAACTGGGTTACTTTTGAAATTTTTAAAACCTAGTTTACAACACTTGTTGGCTTGTTTCTCCGCCTTATAGAAATTCTCCAATCGAGAGAGATTCCTCCAGTGTCAAAACATTTAATTGTTTCACATTATGCAAGCTTATTGTAGTACCTGTTTATGTTCTTTTCCCTTTAGCAAGTTTTAAATTTCTAATAATCCAAAGTATTAAAGGTATTAAAAGTAACTTTTAATTACAACACAGAGGCAGTGTCATCTAGGCCATAAATCCTGTCTTCTCTGCAGTTTCCAACGGCTTCTGTAATTAGACAAGAAAACCTCCCACTGTGTTGAGCTGCTTATTAATAAATAGAACCTATGCCTCTCCAGCCTCCACTCCTTCACCCCATCCCCATTAGGAAGTGCTATTGACAAGGTCCTGATTTCATGGCAGTTCTGCATTCTCACAGAGCTGGAGGTAGGGCGGAGTGCTCTGCCTCTGACTTTGTTGCCTCCCACCGCCTCTGTCCTGTAGGAACCACGTAAACATGTGTGCTGTCGTTCTCTTCCCCGATAAGGGGTCTTGCCGCTTCTGGCTGTCCTGTTCCTGAGCCAGGCTCTTGGGCAAACTTTCCCCCAATGGGCCTCCAAGTCTCAGGGTACAGAATGGTGGGTAGAGCTCCAAGAATGACATGAAGGGTGTTGGCGGCTACTTTCAAATGAGATCCCAGCCCCATATATTAAGCTAGTTTACTCAGTTCACAAATCTCTCTCAAGTATATTTTCTAAATCATTGCTTCTGAGTGGAGCTCCTTTAGATATGGCACCGTTCCACCGGTCCTGTGTTTATACTAATACTTAAAGGACTGAGTATTTTGGGTTTTTTCCCCCTTGGGGGGAAATGGGAAAAAATTTAGAGCTATGCCTTTAATAATTAACCTTATTCTCGCTGCTTTGTATCTTTCATGCGTGTGCGTGTGTGCGTGCGTGTGTGTGTGTGTAACTGCTTTGTATCTTTCATGTGTGTGCGTGCGTGCGTGTGTGTGTGTGTGTGTGTGTGAGAGAGAGAGAGAGAGAGAGAGAGAGAGAAAGATATACTTCATGCCTTTGAGATTTTGGCTAGCCAATTAGAAAAATAATGCATATGCATAAAATAACGCAAACTGTGGTCACTGTAAGCAGAAGAGACTATAGAAGGCTTCTCACAGGAAGGTAAACTCAAGTTTCCTAGAGAGCTGATAGTTTTCTGGGATTCTTAATAACTTGTTTAATAAGGATGAGGTTTTTTGGTTTTTTGGTTTTGTTTTTTTAATGTCTGTGGGTCTTTTCCTTTGGTTGACCTGTGTATTTGTAAAAAGAAGCAGCAGCTCCTCCCTCTGTGTGCGTGTGTGCATAATGCATCCCTTCCCTAGACGCTGTATTGGCCACAGTGGATACAGATGTGAAATGAAGAATAAAGGCAACCTCCTTTATTTCCCCCAGAGATTGGAGGGTCCTTTACATTTTTTCAACTGACATATATTTTTCGTTGTTTTGTGCCCTCTCTCTGACCCATGGCCGTGCAGGTGGTCCTCACACCCTTCTTGTCATAGC